CCTTTCCTCCCGTTTCCTTTCCTCCTCTCCTCCCCTTTTCTCCCCTCTTCTCCTCTCTCCTCCTCTCTTCTACCCTCCCCTCTTTTTCCATTTCCTCTCCTTCAGCCTCCTCCCCTCTTCTCCTTTCCCTCCACTCTCTTCTCTCTTCTCTCCTTCCCTTTCCTCCTCTCATCTCCCTCCTCTTGTCCTCTCCTTTCCTCTCATCTCCTCCCTTTCCCTCTTCTCTCATTTCCTTCCCTCTTCATCGTTCTTCTCTCCTCTCCTTGTCACCTTTCCTCCCCTTTACTTCCTCTCTTCTCTCTCCATACCATCCTCTCCTTGAATCCCTTTTTCCTCTCCTCCTCTCTCATCTCTTCTTTCTTCTTCCTCCTCATCTCCTCTCTTCTCCTTCCTCTTCTCCTCCCCATTCCTTTCATCTCCTCCCTTCCCCTCTTATCTCCTCTCCTCACCTTTCCTTGCCTGTCTTCTCTCTCCTCTCTTCCCCTTTCCTCCTCCTCTTCTCTTCTTTCCTAAAAGTAAAAAAAAGTCTCCTCTCCTCTTTTCTGTGTCCTCTCCTCTCCTCGAATTGAACCACATTTCACCGTCTCCCCTGAAAACAAGATAATACCCTAATTGGTGAAGTCACACATTTATGAATGTAAATGCGTTTTATGTCTCCCTTTTAGGCAGCAGTTTTACAGTTATCATGTGATTCCTCCTGGCTGGCTGCTGACAGCATTTAAAAACACAGAAAACGAAATGGGAACACAGAAACATCCCAATTATTTTCCAAAGACCGAGCTCGTGCTCAGTCTTGAGTCTCACAGATGGAGATAATGCACACAAACACACAGTGTTGTTTTTGCCCACAGTTCCAGCGATACTGGAAGTGTACGTCGGGGAAAGAGTGTGGTGCTTATCATAAATTCATTAGCGCTCTTTGATGTCTATGATGCTGTTAATGTGTGATTGTGTGTGCTCATGGATTTGATGTTTAGTAAAACTTTCAGCGAGCCCACAACAGTTAGGTCACAGTACTCGAAGCCACGCTGCCTTTTACATTGGCCACATTCTCAGGCTGGCAATTTTTAACAACTTGCCCCCTTGAATTTGAAGCGTTTTGTCTAAACACAGTCAAAACAAGCATAAATGATTATTTTTTATTAAGTGGATAAACTATTCTGACAATGTAATTACAAGTTATTTTACTGCCATGCTGTAATTAACACTTCATCTTAAACATCATCACCCCTAGCGTCACACCTTATTGTAATGTGCATTTACATTTACACTTAATTTCAGAGCAGGCGAGGGAAAAAGTGTGTACTAATGGCACGCAACTGGATAAAGATAAACTGTGTTAGAATAATCAGTCCCCGTGTGTGTGTGTGTGTGTGTGCGCGCGTGCGTGTCTGATGTATAAATCCTTAGAACCAAAGTAAGCTTTAATTAATAGCGCTTGATGATCAGCAGGCAAAGGCAAACAGCAACTAAACGAGCTTGTCCCCCCCGTCAGCAAGGATAATTGCATTTCACCAACAGATTCATGTGGCAGACACACTGCCGTTGCAGGGTACTGCTGATGAGTGTCATTTTTTTTCCCTTTTTAGATTTTTTTAGTGTTTTATGCTTGCAAAAGTCCCATGTATTTCTCAAGGGAGACTCCCTTGAGCCTTTCTTTTGTGTTTTTTTGTTTTATTTTGGATGTCAGCTGGGTTAGAGCACAGTAGTGTTAATACTCATGAGAATAGGTGGATGTGAAGGTGCTATAACAGCCTCTCCCTACATCTCTCACTATGTCTCACACCCTTCTTTTCCCCCATAGCCTCTTTCCGTCTTCTCTCCTTCCTTTCTGTCTCCTTTTCTATTAATAATAACTGCTGAATAAAGTTGTCTGGGAATTTCAGAGGAACACTTTGTTATGGCCATCCCTCCTGCTAGGTAAATGAGAGATGGGAGCTCCAGTGCTGTTCCATGTGTGAGATTAATTTGCAGCTCCCCTTTATTTTTAGGGGAACATTATGGGCTCACTGCCCTGTCATTACTCCCCAAGTAGCAGCAGCAGCTTCCAGCTCCTTTCACTAACCCTCTCCCTCTCTGCGGTTTCTCTCTCTTACACCTGCTTTCTCTTTAGTGGGTGGGCACAATAACAGAAACCCCTTTCACTGCAATTGCCCTGCTGCAAATACCAATTTGGTGAATGTGGTAATGTTATTTTTTTTCCAGACTCCCCAGTGTGTTGATTGTACCTCACACCACACTTTGCTTTTGCAAAAGAGTTTTTGGGGGTTTAGATACTTACCGTAACATCTTTATAACGTGTCACTGAATTTGTATTGACTGCAGGGTATTTTGCATGTTTCTATTATTATTATTTCCCTGTCCCTGTCTCTCTCTTCACCCTCGTGCCTTACGCCTGTGTCATCGCTGTGGTAATGATCACTCTTTGACTCACACTCCTCCGTGCAGAAACACACACATTTGAACACACGCGTCACCTTTTCTATCTCTGTATCAGTTTTTATTCCTCTCATCATCCTCTCTGGTCCTCTTATCATGTGTGGAGAGGCTGTCTGCTCTGTTCTTTCTCTCTCTGCCTGCCAGGAGATGGAGGGGAGATTGGTGAGATTGCAGAGGGGTTGCGTTTTGACACCGCCACAACTTGTGATTGCTTAGATATGAACCTGAGATGAGATCTTTGGCTGGATACTGTCAGGCAGCACCACCGTTTATGGGTGCAAGCGTTCATCGTGATCATAGTAAAACAGCATCTTAAAGCTGTAGTTAGTAACTTTGATCAAAATAAGTTTGTGTCACTTGCTGACACTGTCACTATATCCACACAGAAGCACATTTGACAGATGATCTGTGTAAACCTTTGCCCCCTTGAATTGCTTTTAATGGCACTACGGCACATGAACGAAAGCAACCAATCAGAGCTGAGGAGTCTCTAAGGCAGCTGTCAATCATTGCTTGTGAACTGCATGGTCAAACTAGGTCAAACATCAAGTATGACTCAAGATTCTGTCACTGCTTTGCCTTTTTCTTGCCTCAAGTGTTTCCAAGAACATATTTTAGTGTACTGTTTAGCTGTAAGCTGAGAAATTTGGTGCAGCTAGTGGGCGGTGGTTTGTGCAGCAAACATGGCAGCCATGTCAAAAACTTTATCATTTTACAGCTTAGCTCATGAGTGATGATTGACATGATTGGCAGCTGCTTTAAAGACTCTTTGGCTCTGATTGGTTGTTGTCTGTGAGCCACGGTAAATTTTAACAAATGCCGCTGGAGGCAATAGGAGTAGAGGGGACATGATTTTTTTCACAGACTCTCTGACTTGTTGATGTAGTGATAGTTTCAGCAAATATGATCATAAAACGTATCAATTGTAGCTGTAAGACAAAGACTCTTTAAGATAAATGGAATTTTATGCTATAATGAGTAAAGAGAAAATTTGTGAAAAAAGTAATTGCGTATTTTTAGTTATTTCAAGAAACTTTTTGGTGCTGTGCTATGTAAATATTGGAATTTTTCTTATTTATTTTTTATACACTGTTGTATCTTTTGCTTTGAGCTAAAACACAAGCATGACATTGCTCAGTAAACCTGTCTGTTTTGCTGATGGAGATTTGCATTAAGTCTGACAAACAAACTCAAGCATATCTTTGATGTGAGTGACACATCAAACATTTTCCTGTCTTCACCCTGTACCTCTCACACAACAGCATGAAGACTTATGAATTGAATTTGAAAAGAAAGGATGTTGGTATTGCTTGTACTATTTTTACATACTGCTAGATTGTACTGCAAACACCATGCACAATACGTATTTTGATCAAAATACTACCTTAATCACAACTGCAATCCCTCTATTTAGGGTTGAATTTAGGTTGAACGCACCAGCTTCCAGTGCTTAATGTTATTTGGATTAGCAGGGCTTTCATTCACGTGAGTGTGTGGATACTACGCAGGTGAACACCACTCCTCATAACACACAGTTTGTCATTGGAGAGGCCTAATGAGTGGGAACACACAGGGGACCACCATGTTTACAGGAAATGCTGTCATTTCCCTTTGATAATCTGAGCTGGTGTGTGTGGTACTGTGTGCTGGGTGCATTGACAGTATAGATGTAACAGTTCTGCCCACCACGTGCAAAATGTTCATTAAATTAGCATGGTTTTACACATGTGTGTGTGTGTGTGTGTGTGTGTGTGTGCCTGTCTGCTACGGCTGTATGTGTAATGCTGAGACTTTGCAAATGACCCAAGGACTATAGGGATGCTTATTTCTGCAACCACTTGCATTTCCTCCCTAATTGTTCCTCCTCTGCCCATAAACCTACTTTGTGTGTGTGCAAGCTTCTGTGTGTGTGTGTCTCTGTGTGTATGTGTGTGTGTGTGTGTAGGTATGTTAAAAAGAAAAAGAAGGTCCTTTTCTCTCTGCTAGCAGTGTCAGCAGGTGAGCTGCCCTATTGGGAGAAAAGAGAGAAATTGCCAAAGCATGCAAATTGCTACTCCAAGGGGAGAATCAATTAGGTGCATAGTGGCTGGAGCAGAAAGGCAAGGAGGGGTGTTGAGAGGTAGGGGTCCATGCAGAGAGATGGTGCAGAGCCATGCTGATCACCTCCTCTGAGACGATGCATTACTCCTCCTCTCCTGTCCCCTTCCTCAATCCATAGACTGATCCTATTGGCTGAAGCTGTCTCTACACTCTGCCTTTTAAACCTCTACTGTGCCTCAGCCTCATTCCTTTTTCTGTCTAGCCCATTTCTTTTCTAATTATAGATTGTGCTACAATCTCAAGTGTGTGCCCTCTTCACCTGTTTTCCTCATTATTCTTTGCAAAGATGCTCTGTTCTAATCTGTGCCAGATAAAATTAGAACATAGATCACATCATACAGTCTTCATATGCATAATGTATATCCATCAATACCGTGTGACAGTTTCCTTGAATGTGTGTTAATATTTGGTTTATGTTCATGATGCTGTTTTTGACTGAGTTTTGTCTCTTCACTCTTTAGGTACATAATGTCCTCCATCTCGAGAGAGGCTTGATCCCGATTGGCCGACAGTATTGGACTGTGCCTCCTTCCCTCTCCTCACCACTCCCAGCCTCAGAACAGCCATGACGTCCCTCACCAGGACATGGACCTGCTTTTTTGTATGCTGCTTCCTGTCCAGTCTGGCGCTTCCTGTGACATCACAAACAGTGGTGCAAGCCCCACAGGCTCACAGTGCCGGCTCCCAAGTGATCACAGCATCCCTTCAGGAGGAGGAGTATGCATCATTTCGTGCTGAGAACCCTGAGTGGACATTTAACCATCTGGCAGTGGACTATCGCAATGGCAATGTTTATTTGGGAGCAGTCAATCGCATATACAAACTGTCCCCGGGCCTGGAGGTCCAGGTGTCCCACGAGACCGGCCCGGATGAAGACAACCGCAAGTGCTACCCACCACGTATTGTCCAGCCCTGCAGTGAGCCACTTACACTCACCAACAATGTCAACAAGATGCTTCTGATGGACTATCGGGAGAACCGGCTGCTGGCTTGTGGCAGCCTTTACCAGGGCATCTGCAAACTCCTCCGTCTAGATGACCTTTTCAAACTGGGAGAGCCCTTCCACAAGAAGGAGCACTACCTCTCAGGTGTCAATGAGAGTGGCTCTGTGTTTGGTGTTATTGTATCATATGGAAATGCCTCTCCAGACATGCTCTTTGTAGCCACGGCAGTGGATGGCAAACCAGAGTACTTCCCTACCATCTCTAGCCGCAAATTGGCCAGAAACTCGGAGGAGGATGGCATGTTTGCTTATGTCTTCCATGACGAGTTTGTGGCCTCTATGATTAAGATTCCTTCAGACACCTTCACTGTCATCCCAGACTTTGACATATACTACATTTATGGCTTTGCCAGTGGGAACTTTGTCTATTTCCTGACTTTGCAGCCTGAAATGGGGGGTGGGCCAACCACTGGATCCTCCTCTACCGGTCGGGAGCAGGTCTACACCTCCAAGATAGTCCGCCTCTGCAAGGCAGACACCGCCTTTAACTCCTATGTGGAGGTGCCTATTGGATGCATTAGCGGCAACGTGGAGTACCGATTACTCGAGGCGGCCTACCTGTCCAAAGCTGGTGCTATCCTGGCACGCTCACTAGATGTGGCACCGGATGATGACGTTTTGTTCGCCGTCTTCTCAAAAGGCCAAAAGAGGCGTCCACGCCAGGCTTCACAGGACTCTGCACTGTGTGTCTTCTCTCTGCGGAAGATCAATGAAAAAATCAAGGAGAGGCTGCAGTCGTGCTACAAGGGTGAGGGCACACTGGACCTGGCTTGGCTCAAAGTCAAGGATATTCCCTGCAGCAGTGCGGTAAGTACTACAAGACATTTTGTGACTTTGAGCCACATTTATGCAGACACAAGTTTAATGGCAGCACTGGGGAAATATACACCTCATTGGTAGTCCTTTTTTTTTAAAAAAAAATCCACACATACTTTGCATGCACAAGTACACACATTCTCTGCTATAACATTAAATACTGTGCTCCTAATCTGCCAGAACAGCAGGCATCAAGCAGTCCTCTTAAAGCAGCATTTATCAAACCCATTTAGGAAAAGGGTATTTTATGAGACTGCATTAAGAAAAACTAAACACTTATGATTTCTTATTGTTGTAATGGATTTTTACTGAGGGACATTGCAGGTGAGGCTCTCTGGAGGAAAATCAGTTGTGAAGGCTCTTCCAATGCAACAATAATGAGCCTGGGTGCACTGCGGGGGGCCTCGATGAACACTGTGTTCTTGGGTGGGTTCATGCTCCATCCCATTATGATGTGATATTAACCATCCACTGCCTCTTTTAATCCGCTCACCCTTTAAACAATGCAGCTGAATGCTCAGCCAAATTACCATAATTCCATTCTCCATAACAGCATTACAAATTCAGTGATTCAGTTCATTTGATTTCTCACTTTGTGCACATAAAAAACAAGGTTAAATTGGGTGTTACATGTTTAGACCACCTTCACAAGCAGCCAAAGCTGTTTCATGCGTTTTCTTTCTTGATCTCATTATGTTATTAATAAAAGCTGCCAACCTCAAGAAATACAGTTTTACCATGATCAGAGTGCATTTGTTAGTTATCATGTTCCTCTACATGAAACATGCTCACTTGCAAATGTTGAATTCAGAGAGGTGTAGCTAGTGGGTGAGAATAAATCTCTGAAGAGGTTTGTTTTCACTATATAGATCAGTAAAAGGTGTATCGTTACAGATGAATGGTCGAACATTTTTGCGTTGGAATTTTTTGGTATATTTTTTATAACTTTGTTGATAAATTAATGAAGCTACATGTACGTATTTACAACAAAATTAAATGCATTCGACCTCCATTATCAACACTGTGCAGCATTTCTGTTATGAAAGGTCAGGGTTTCCCATTCATTCATTTACTCGTGGCCTGTTTATTGGGAGCACTGTTGGAATGTATATACAGTTCTGTTATTCATAGCACCACGTGCTGAAGCAATGCGTACTCTGGGCACAGGTGGGGCAGCAGGATGCCAAGCATAGTGAAAGTGAAACTTGACTATTTGTTATTTTATATAGAAATAGAACACTCAATTTCTTAGAACAACAGTGCTCTAGTTTTAGTGTTGTCCATTGTTTTTTCAACCTACTTTAGATGAAGTATGGGAAGTGTGTACCCTGAGGTCCAGGGCAGGATCTAAAAGTTTGCTTTCACTCCCCTCTGCAGCAGCTGCTTCTCTAATCCATCAATATGATCTGATCAGATCAGTGATAAGCTGATAAACTCAAACTCAACAAACTGCTCTCGAGAGTTAAAAAAAAAAAAAGTAAGAGTTTTGGCAATGCTACATTTACTGACCCTCAACACCTCTGAATTCAGAGATGGGACAAGGAATGATCACAAAGGGACACACAAAAACAACAAAAAGGCAGAACGTTAGCTAAACTGTTGTCATTGTCGTCACCCCCTTCTGTCGTCAGCTTCCACCTCACATATGTCTAATTCTGTGGGAAACACTAAAGGTGCTTTAAAAATAATATTCATTATTATTAAGTCAAGCCAAGTTTATTTAGAGCACATTTTAAATGACAGGCGTAGACTCAGTGTACTTTAAATAAAAAGCAAAAAAATAGACAAAGATCATACATGACAACAAACATAAGATATGTTTAATAACATTTAAGATAAGAACATATCACATATATAAAATATATAAGATAAAAAAACTTAGAAAAGGATACTGATGGAACGAAAGCACTGGTGAGCAAAAATACATTTTTTTTACCAAGGAATATAATCAATGGAACGACGAATAGTATCTTCCTCACTCAAGTTAGTCATCTGCTTTATCTACAAGAGCGACAGATGAGAATTTATACAGCCACAAATACTTCTAACAAGAATTTGATTGCTTGCTCATGGTCATATTTCAGCAACATAAATTTGATCCTCTTACTGCGCCTCAGTCCATATTGTTCTGACCTTAGCCATACACTATCTGCAAGGCATTATGAAGTTGACCCTCTCTTGTGTTTGGTTCTGGAATCACAGTGTTTATCTATTAATCCGTCTCTGGCACGGCACACGTGCCGGGGCGCCTTTGTCTGCTGCTTGAGGGCCTGATAAATCATGCCTGGGGTGGAGCTGTCAGCAGGGAGAGGAAGTGTGAGGGAGCACACAGGGGTTAGCGCTGAGGAATGATGCCATTTCAGCATGCGCCACACTATCGCCACCGCCACCGCATAAATTAGACCCCGCTGAACAAGTGACAGTGGACTCTGCAGGAGATAGATGAGTTGTGACACACATACACACGCGCGTGCACATGTGCCACCACACTTGTAAATATGGCTATTGCAGAGATGGAGAGGCAGAGAGAGGCTTTTGATGAAGTAGAATAATAGCAATAAATAAATTTTTATATGAAAGTAATTTGTTAGAATGTAGATCAGATCATTCTCGGCTGCTTTAGAGTGGAGTTGATGTTACAGCCATAAAAAAGGAGTTATATTTAAATACATGCACACATAAATCAGGGGCCTATTGCTAGAGCATTAGTAAATTAGTAGATGTAAATAAGGGCCGTATATATTTCCGATGAGTGTTCTCACAATGAGACCATGTTAAAATAAAGAGTTGTGGGCAAATACAACTCTCATCTGGTGTGTGTCTGTGATGGATGGTTGGTGTCTCTAATATCCCATGGTTGATTTTTTATGAATCGTTGGTTGTTAGTCACTGATTAATTCCTTTGCCGCTTTAAATGATGCATGACTGGGAGCACCATGTCTCTCTGATATCATCACAAATGTAGTTTAAACTCATCATTCACATCCTCTCCTTTCTGCGTTTCCCTTCGGCGTAGAGCGCCAACATAGACACACACATGCTCGTAATCTCTTGAACACACCAAACAAGGTTGCTCAGAACATTTTGGAAGTCAGAGTGCTTTTTGGTTCCTGCGCTTACAAGACACTCTAATTGAGGAATCACACAACCATATAAATATCAAATAAGGGTCCTACTCACTTTCGTACAGCTCTTACTCTTGCTTTTTGGCTCTAATTTTTTCCTGCAAAAATGTTCAAGACTCAATAAAAATGTCTTTTGAATCAAAGATAGGATTTAGACTGATGAAGATTGTAAAAAATACGGCCAGTGCAAAGTGTGGTTTAAAGGTTTTTATTTTTTAACTTACTCAAAGGCACTCTGGCCCATATTAGCAGCTCATTATCATTTCTTTCCATGTTTCTTTCCACTTTGTAGTATTGGAGGCATTTTGTGAGCTTGCAGCTTTGCAAGAGGACCTTTTTTTATTGTAAATGACAGTGGTTAGTGTTCACTTGGAGCAGGAAACAACCATTTTTGGATGTGCCTGCAATACAGTCAGCTCAAAGGGAGAGTTTGAGTCTTTAGAAGTGGGGTTGTATGAGGGACCAAAGTCCGTGTGTTATATACAGTAGATGGTGGTTGGCACGCCCCCAGTTTGGAGAATCGGGCAGGAATACCACCATGGAAGCTAAGCAATGAACTGCTGTGGATGGGGGGCAACAGCAAAGCGTATTTAAGCCACCTAACAAAAGGTCTACCAATTTTTTTAAGCTATTTTTTGGGGATTATAGGCCTTTAATCACAGGATAGCAGAGGCGTAAAATGGGAGAGAGGGGATGACATACAGCAAAGGGCCATGGGCTGGAGTCGAGCCTGCAGCCGCTGCAGTAAGTAATCATTGCCTTTGTACATGGGGAGCCTGCTCTACACACTTAGCCACTGGACACCTGCTGTTCTACCACTGCCAAGGTTGGTTGGTTAGTTTGTGTTATTGTGTGACTTTGGTGACTCTGAACTAAACATTTAAAATGCCAAAGTCACGCAATAACACAAACGAAATAACTGATCGAGGCAGCTTATGTGTTCAGTGATTTTACTGGTTTTCTCAATGGAGTCTGACTTTCAAGGGAGTGACATAACAGCTGTCAAATTGCTGTCTGACAGCAAGGGAAAGCAGTGAAAGTATTCTAAATATAGTGTACACTTAAACTGATATGGTACTTTAAATTTGGGCCTTTCTTTAGCTGGCTAAAATAAGTTTTGGCGCTGCCCACGTCCAGAATACCACATTGTCTGCTTCTGTAAACTAGGGATATGCTGACTGACATCTACTGACAAGAAAATTCCTTGTAAAAGACCAAATCCATTGAATTGACTGAAACATTTTTTATTTTGAGATGTGAATATTTTGAAACGAGGAATAATCAAATCATAGTTGAAGGACACTGGCCTGGGTAGGACAGTATAAACACTTACTTCTGTCAGACCTTTTGCTTTACACCGTTTTTAAAAGGCTTTCAGCCAGAGTGGGAGAGATGAAAAGAGGGAGAAGTTGAGAAGAAAAAGTATGAACATAGAGTGGTGTGATGGGCGAGTAGAGCAGTAGAGAGGATAGATGGTGAGAGAGTAAGTGAGGGGGGGATGCTTCCTCTCTCCCCCAAATGGCCATGCTTGGCTGAGCCACATAATGCGTGCTCAACAATATAAGTCTGCAAAGGGCCTGCCTCCATAGATCATTGTGAAGTGGCATGTGACCTATAAAAAAATGCTGCCTGCTCCCTCCATGTTCACTGTGTCAGCAGAAAAAAAAAACAGAACAACAAAACAGCGGGATCGCAATAAATTCACTCTGTGCTCTCTTCTCTCTCATCCTTGATTCATTGCGCACTGTCTGTGCCGCTCTTTTCTCCTTCTGCCTGTCCCTCTCTTCATGTTCTTATAAAAACAGATGCCACCATCCCCTCTTCTCATTTTCCTTTCCACTTCCCGTCTTTGATTCTGTCCCTCTT